TGCTGCGGTTGTGGTGGGTGCCATAGCAGTCAAATTATTCCTGATTAAAAATGATTATCTAGTTCATATTTTAATTTATTATTTTTAGTGTAGCTGAGCACTGATTAAAATATTTTTGTTATGATTTTAAATTTTTAAAAATTATATTTATGTTCATTAAATAATTAATTTTTTAATTTCATGCTTATTCTGTTAAATTCGTATGTTTAATATGTTATATTATAATTTAAATTAATTTATTATTTTTAATTTTATTTTACATTTAATTTATAAAGACTGGAGTTTATTAAATGTTAAAACAAATTTTAATATTATACATTTATTACAATAATTTTAATAAAATAATAAATTGTTTATAAAATAATTTTTAAAAAATTATTTAAATAATTTATTTAATTAAAATAAAGTTTTTGGAAATGTTATTTAATAAAAGCACTATATGCATATTATAAATATAATTTAATTTATAACAAAAAGTGACAATTTGAAAGTAAAACAATTATATCTATAATTTATTATTCATATTGATAAACATTTTTCATATGAAATCAAAATTATTTATTAAACAAAATGAAATGTTAAACATTGTAATTTATTTATTAATCAAAATTGCAATGTTTAAATTAGTTTGTGCATTTTATCACGCGCATATCATAACTAAATAGAAACTCACATACTTTATAAATATCAGTCAAATTATCGCAATTGATAAAATTAACAATTCCATTGAACAGGGTTGGTACATGAAATAAACAAAATCATTTACTACAAACTATCTGAAATAAAACATGTAAGTTTTAAAATTTAATAATTATACATACAATATAACTTATTTTGTATAAATTATATAAATCATAACATGATAAATGATTTATATTCCTTATTGACAGTTTACAATATAATAGCACAATGACTGTAATACACACAATGCTGTCGTGGACACTGATTGTGGCCATACTGATGGTGAACAGTGACTGTGCCAACCACCATGGTCAGTTACGGCCCAATCGGCCCAAATGCGTTGAAGTGCAGACAGTGATTGACATCATTTGCGCCACAAGTCTATTACATCACGAAAAACGGGACGAAATGTTTGCTGT